GTAAATGGTAACATAATGTATTAATAGGAGGGTAATATTAGGGTGCTGGTATGGGCTCTGTTGTCACATAGTGTTGTGTTGATGGTTATTACTGCCGTGTGTGTGTGTGCTGCGGGACCCTTCCTGGCCTCTCTCTCTCCTGCTCCTCGCCTCCCCTGGCCTCACTCCTCCTCCTCCTCCTCCTCGTCTCCCCTGGCCTCACTACTCCTCCTCGCCTCCCCTGGCCTCACTCCTCCTCCTCCTCCTCCTCCTCGCCTCCCCTGGCCTTACTCCTCCTCCTCCTCGCCTCCCCTGGCCTCACTCCTCCTCCTCCTCCTCGCCTCCCCATGAAATTTGTGCGTTGGAGTCTTCAGGAGGAGCATTGTAACTCAATCGCTGCACACCAACCTGCAAGTCGTGTAGTCAGGGAGTGCGCCGCCAACAGATTGCAAACCCTAAACGTTCGAAATAGATTACGAACCTAATCGTTCGTAATTTTCCACGAGACGTCTCGGGGGAGCTCCAAAAATATATATTTTCGTGTCTTCCCACTGATCACCGTCCCGGCTCCAGGCCCAGAGACACACGGCTGGCTTACTATCCTCTATTTTGGGATTTAAATCAAACCTTTGTGCGTCCTCCCTCTGTGCTCTCGTGGCGACTGACCTTCCAACCGACCAGTTGGTTAGACCAGGGTCAGCCAATTCTCCGTTATTGAAGATAACTTGATGGTTTCGCTCTTGTTTCATTACTGGTGGTTTAGATCTACTGCTCTCTGATTGCTGGCTTAGATCTACTACTCACTGATTGATAGTCTAGAGCTACTAGCCTCTGACTGCTAGCTAGGGTCTACTACCCACTGTGCCTACTCCTCATGTCAGATCACTTCACACTCACAGAAAGTATTCCCCTCAGGGATGGTGTGAACACCACACTGTTGACAGGAAGAGAGAGCACCACATACCATTTTTTTTATTAAGATATGAGGTACATCTGCATTAGTGCAGCTACCCTAGACTATATGAAGTGGAGTACAGTGTGTCAAAAAAGCTAACTAGGTGATGCTAAAAAATCCACATCACACAGGATGGTTAGTCATACAGAGGCATGTGATAAGCGGTCTGCACTGGCAGACTCCGGATGAATTTTGAGGATATCATCAACACAAGATTGAATAAGGTAGCAGTGGTAATACAAGTCCCCATCTCGCAGGATGGTTAGTCATACAGGGTCATATGTTTAGTAGCCTGCACTGGCAAATTTTGGGTATACTGTGAGGATATCTTCAAGAATATACTGGTGGGGGTTGCCCACGTGTCAGCCATAGTGGGGAAGCGAACCAGCACCGGAGGAACCTTGTGTCATGCCAGCTCACACTTACTAACCTAACCTAGGATAACAGCTGATGTTATTGTCTCTTCTGGCCCAAAACACATGGGTGGACAATTCTGCTTTTGCGTTAGTATGCTATACATATCACAAAAACAAATTTGGGTGCATTGTTAACATTGTCATCATGGCAGTAATTGGACTGCCATGGTATAAATGCGTCTGATGAAAGAAGGTTTATACCAGTATCATAATTATTTGTAGTAGCAGGAGCAGCACTATATTCATACATTCTGTATTTCTTTTCAAGTCCGCCGATGTGAGAATACAGCAAAATGCACCCAGCTCTACGCCAAAGAAAAATCCAGTTTCTGAAATAAACTTAGCTGTGGTTCGTTTGAGCCATAAAGCCAGTTTGAAATTGTTTTCCTTCTTCCAAACACGCGTCGTTTGTCCTTTTATCTGGCTGTCTTTCCTGTCTATACGAGTGTTTGTCACTTGCTGTGTTTGTTCCTCTCATATTGTTGACATTTGGATCTCTGTGTTCTCTCTTTAGCTAGCTTTTTTTTATATTTTGGCTTTAGTGTCTTAATATTTGTGTATATCAGCTTGTGTTTTGTTATGTGGATGAATCTTATATTACCTCTTCATATTTGTTAATTGCACTTTGTGTTTGAAATTAAGTAATTTCTGCACGGATCGGTATCTCATTAATGTTTAAATAAAGTAATTTTACGACTTCAATGAACAAATAGTTCAATTGCGATTAAATTGTAAATACTTGTTAAGTTCTTGTCTTAAACAAACTACTGTTGTTGCTGTCTTAAAGGTGTCGAGGGCACAGACTCGGTATGTGACCAGGTTTTTCCTTACCGTAAAGAAACACTAAATTTTTCTTGTAAGACATCGCTTGTCGTTGGAAAAACACTACCTTTGTGACTGACACACACACACTGGTGAGCAGATACTTGACCGCCCTTGACTACACCCGGGGAGGCCAGTTCTGGATCCCCATACCGCTCAGTTATCGGTATGTAGTTAGCAGTATCGATGGAGCACGCGCTGGGGGACTATCTATCCACACTCAATGATTGATTGATGAAGATTAATCCATCCAAAAGGTGGCACGGGCATGAATAGCCCGTAAGTGGTGGCCCTTTTGAGCCATTACCAGTATCAAGAGATGATACTGGTGATCTGTGGAGGTGCGACTGCACCCTGCGTGACGGGAGATGTCTCCCGTCAACCACACTCAAGGAATGCAGGCAAATATAACCCTCAGACATTCTTCATACTTCGGGTAGTTAACAACCATCAATACAAAAATAAAACCATCAAGGTCTTCCATGACCACCGGGGGACCAGTAGAGATACCTACCACTTCCCGTGAGCACACACAACAGCCGCTCTCACACAAGACAGCACATATAGGACTTATTGCTTATAGTCACTATTTCGCTTATAAATAAGTATATATGTGACATATTCCAAGCCATGTTTTTTTCCAATGCACTTACTCTTCTCAGTTTTATTAAACAATAGAGATTTTATACAAAATTTGACAATATCCTGAGTAATTTTACAATTTATTTAAATATTTTAGTTTTGTTTTATTATTGTTAGAAAACTGTAATATCAATATAGGTATAGGTTCAGTACTGATTGTAATATCTTAACATACTAAGAAGGTTAGGTTAGGTCGGTGTTTTCTATTCAGCATTTCAAGGTAAACTCAAATATTCACAATAAATTAGTATGTCACATATGCACTTATTCATATGCCAAATATTGACTATAAGCAAGTGCGAGAACGGGTGGCAACAGCCACCCATTTCGATCATCTCTTTACAAAGCCGGCGCCAGACCCCATCTCCCTACCCTATGATCTCAACGGAAAACGTAACAAAAAGATATCAACTCTCATGTGACCCCACTTTAATGATAAATATGCAAATGCTTTCAATTATCTCTAGTGTGTGGCCTAAAGCGTACAGTGACTATAATACTTTATCAAATGTGTGCAGTAATCTACCTCATGTAAAAGTTCTGTACATCGGACGTATCTACGTCATGGTCTGTGGATATCTTACATATAATCCTACTTACGACCACCAATTAACCAAGTATTTACAGTTAAATAAAATGAAAATGACAAAAGTGAATAAAAGACTAAAATAATAGTACTTTTCTTGATGTCTAATAACAAGAGTATACTGAAAAATTGCCACGTGGAACCAAATAGGTAGGACACAGTGGCAAGGTTAAATATGAATGGATTCTGTTGTGGAGATGGAGAGCGTGTGAGGAGCGGGTGGGCGGTGGGCGCTTAGACAGCTTCAGCCTGACTCTGTAATCTGGGCTTACAGTATCGTCACGTCAAACTGGTATAGTGTATTTTGGTTCATTTATTACTTTTGTGCTTAAATACGTCATATTTTCAATATTTTAGCTATTGTAGGACTTGTATTTTAATGTGACACTGACGTACATAAATGTTGGGCACCAGATGACGGCTCGGTCTTTATATCCCAAGTTTTAAGGAGCCGTTGTGTTCTTGTTTCACAAGTACTGCCCTCTAACTATTACTAAATCTAACCCCAAGTGATATGCAATAGCTTTATTAATTAAGTCAAAGTTAAATCATTATACTGTTCAGTAAAAATCAATTTTCGATTTATGTTCTAGTGTTCTTGTGTTCAAAGGAAACAAAGAGTCAGTATAAATGGGATTAAATTAGAGTGGGAAAATGTTGTAAGTAGAGTGCCTCAAGACTCTGTCCTGGGACCTCTGTTATTCATTATATATGCAACAATGATCACAAAAACACTGATCCAAGTATGCGGAACTTACTCATAATATATAAAAATAATTATGATTCAGGTTTGAGCAGCAATACTTGCAATTTGCCGATGATACAAAAATCGGGTGGGAAAAAAACCCGGAAAAAGACTAAATCTAAATAAAGTTCTGAAATGGTTAAACGATTGGCAGATGCAGTTTAATCTCGATTTATGTAAACAAACTTGGAATTTATTACTTTAGTGCGTATCATTTATTTTTTAGATTTACCTTATATGATCAATTCATTCTGTATGCCTGGGGTGCATGACTGAATTGTTCTCACCTAAGCTATTGATCTTGTTCTAATTACTGAAATATTTCATAATGGCAGCTGTACTTCTCAGTGTTCTACAGTGTTCTACAGTGTTCATATTACTTGTAATACGCTCCAGCGCTTACAGACTCGTGCCTCATAATACACGTATAAAATCTCGTCCCTCATAATGGAAAACCTCGTGCCTCCCACCAAGCGATATGTGGGTCTGTCATCGCATCATTTTGGGTTGTTGAACAAGAATGCCTTACCACAGAATCGAGTCAACGTTAGAATAGTCGAGCTACAGACTGAATACCAACAGGTACAACAAGGCTAGTAGGCGGGGCATAAATAGCTAGACCTTACTTCCCCCATAGTCAATGATAGGTAAGCAATTAATAATGTTGACAATTGTCATAATTTATCACCTGTGTTGCCCCTGTGTGGAGGATGTTGTGAAAGTTAATATTTTGCATTGTATTCTTTCAGATTATGAAGCAGATTCTTTTCCTATGCTTCCTTCTTACAGCTTATGATGATCATCTTTTTGTTTCTTACATATCATGACGCTGAATTTTTCTCCTTGTTTCTTGCAGAGTGTGAAGTCCTAGTGGAAGGTTCCAGCCGAGGGTTGGAGGAGTCATGGGGGTTGCCGCAGCGTGGTTGTTGGTGGTGGTAGCCCTGGTGGCCTCCCTCGGCTGCTCCAGGGCTCAAGTGGGGCTGCGTACCGCGCCCCTCACGGCACCCAGGGCACGTGAGGCTCCTGGCCCTGACAGCGGAGGCTTGGGCCTCTTCTCCAAGTGGTCCAGTCTCGATTCGCACAAGAACCGCACCAGCAGCATCGAGAACTCCTTGGCGGCCATCTTCAGAGGAGTGGCATATGGCCTGTCTACCATTCCCACCTCCACTATCACCACCTCCACTACTACCACCCCGGCCCCCTCCCTACACGCTACTGCCAGCCCTGCAGGTCAGGGGCATCGACCCCAGGTACCTGACTCACCCGGGTGGTCAGACCTGGAAGGGCTCCTGTTCCAAACGACATTTGATGAACTTCCGCCTGAAGATTTTGACAATTTGTATCCGGACTCTAAAAATGAGGTGGAAGTGGTGCGGGCGGGCGCGGGCGTGGAGCTGAGCAAGGCGGCGTGGGTGCGTGCCCTGGGCATGGCGTGGGTGGTGCACGTGTACTGCGCTGCGGGGATGTACAGCTTGCTGGCGGTGCTGGCACTGCTGTGGCTGTCACGGGTGCACTCGGCCACACGTCTCCTCCCTCGCGGTTATTACGTCACTTTTCACCTGCTCATGTTCCTGGCCGCCATCCTCCGCTGCGTCCACCTGTTCCACGACCCATATGGCGCCGAGCACAAGCTGCCGGAGGCACTGGCCGCTGTGGTGGAGGAGGTAGGGTGGCCGTGCCTCACCGCAGCCATGGCACTAGTGGTGATGGGCGTCGTGCAGGCGTGGCGCTGCCCCCCACACCTCCCCCACCAGCATCACGCCCCCGCCGCCCTTGCCGTCATCACAGTCTTCCATCTTATGGTATCCATCTGCGCCCACCTCTTCTCAGTTTTGTTTCCAGAACACGCTGGTCCGCTACGGGCTGCGGCACGGACGGCGACAGCAGCATGGGGCGGCGTGATCGGCGTAGGAAGCTTCCTGGCGGTGTGTCGCGTGGCACAGGCTGCCAGGCACCGCCATGGGCACCTTACGGTGATGCTGAGCCGTGACGCTGTCGAGGGGACAACGCAACATCCCCGTGTTGCTCTTCTCCAGGGTGTGAACCTTGCCTTAATAGCGGCTTTTGCACAGGTGATCCTGGCGGCCCTACACCTGTACGGCCTGCTGGGACCCCACTATATCTTACAGCTGCCTCCCGCACACCCCTGGCACTGGCTAGCCTTCCAGAGCACCTGCTGCCTCCTGGAGCTGCTTGCCTGGGTGCTCCTCGCTCTCATCTCTCTGCTGTCAGTAGGAGGCTCCCCGGTGAAGCGCGAGACGCGCAAAGAGGCAAACCTGTTGTCTGCATTGTGGTGCGGCCGGTGCGTGAGCCAGGACCCCAGTGACCGCGAGGTGTGTCAGGGTGCGTGTCAGGATAGCCAGGCTGCGAGGAGCTACACCCTGCAGCCCAGTACCAACACCGGCCCCCAGCAGGTGCTCACACAGTCATACCCTGCGCGACACGGCGCTCACTCCCTCCGCAACCCGCCAACATTTCGTCCCGCAGCTTCTGATGTTCATCTTTTGTGGAGCCACAGTCGCACCCAAGATGCTTTCTCCTCCAACTGCTCCTCTAGACCTTCTTCCATAGTGTTCTGCGACTCTGGCCCCGGTAGGTTCAAAAGGCCTCAGGAACCTCAAGGTGAAATGACTGAATCTTCCCATAAGTCTCTCCAGAATAGGGAAACTAATTTAGGCAGGAATTGTAGTGCGCCACACAAGGCAGCGCAGGAGGACGAGCCCACAGCCTACGACCAGCACCTATACTACAGTGTGGCCAAGATTCCCAAGACCTCGCCTGTCAAAGCCACCGCTTCTCCAACGTTCGGAAGCCCTTTGCACGACACCCGTTTCCAGCACCATATGCAACATCACGTTGGGGGCGAGGTGGAGAGCGCGGCGAGCGATGACGGCCAGTCAAGGAGCGAGGTAGTGAGCGTGACGGACTGCAGCTCCACGGACGCGCTCTCGCCAGCAGTGGTGGGCGACAACGACTGGTCCAAGTACACCAGCACCTGCTCCTCCGTCAGCGCCGCCAATAGCTTCGACGTCCGCATGTGCGATGATTCTGACGTACCATATTACCAGATCCCCTACACGGCCTCCCCGCAGCCTCATGCCCCCTGGCACCAACACTCGCCCCCAGCTCACCTGCCCCTGCACGGAGACGCCACGCCACCCGCTGTACACGCACCTTTTGCACGGCAAGCTGACCAGACCAAGTCTCTGCAGGCATCCCGCACGTCTTCCCCTGCTTCCAGCCATCATACCGAGTACCCTGTACGACCACACGACCATACACGACCCCTACATGACCTGCACGCGCGTGGGCCTTACCCTGAGCTTGTGGCCCCCGGCAGCCCATCTCACTCTCAACAGCGTTGTCAGGGGAATATGAGAAGGGAGTTAACGGGGCTACAGAGGCCTCCTCAGCTCCAGAGACGCGTCAACATCAGAAGCGCTCAAGAAGATTCTGCAGTTCAACTGCAGAACTCCAAGAACGCTGACGAGACAACGAATACCATCGAGAGACTCTGTGAGGTGTCAAAGGCTGCCCTTATGTCCCATACCAACTCTAGAGTCTCCTCAAAAGTAGTTAGGACAGACTCGTCGCAGAGCAGCAGCGGCCACAACACCCTCGATAGTCAAGATGTCTGTGAAGTGGCGGAGAAATGCCACCGAGCCCCGCTGACCCACCACCGTCGTCGCAGGGGCGAGAGAGTTCGTCCATGTGGTCATCGTCCACGCACCAGGCAGGAGGCTGCAGGTGTGCGCCCTACATCTCCAGCCGTCCAGAACCAAGACATCCCCCAGGGAGAGGTATCCCACCCCTCGCACCACACTCAGGAGGTGGCGGCCTCTGAGACTGAAGGAACTACTCAGGCAGACGTCAACACAGCGATATCGCTTTCACCCTCCTCATCACGCGCAGGTTCATCCTTGGGTTCACATTCAGACCTCCCTTCAGAAGGCGCCGACTCTGAGAACGAAGGCTCTCTTCAGAGTCGCGAGCGTCCTCATGATGCCAAGCGCGAAGTAGTACGCCCTCCTGAGGTGCCTCCGAGGAGGCATGAACTCCCAAAACCCATCAACAGGCAAGGTCATGACCCCTGACACGTGTAATGAGTGTGTCAGGTGCAACACACCTGTGCCCAGAATGCAGGAATAAACAGCTCACGTCTTTTGTGATAATTTACTTTTTTAATCTCCCCGCTTCACCTTGCTTCCTTCTGGTCATGTATACACGCCAGAAGTCAATGTAATGGAGTGTTACCGCTGTGCAGCAAATTATTCACGGTGCTAACGTGAGTGTCTCCAAAGTGAATCAAAAGTATAGACTTGGATAATCAAACACACACACGCCGTAGTAGCGTGTCCACCAGCAATATCATAACAATGGAAATGAACACTACTACACTAGACCTCCAAGGCAAGGATACTCTAATGTCATCGATGTTTAAATATCTGAAGAAAATAATATTTCAATAATCTAGTGTAAATGATATTTAAAAAAATAACAAATGCACTTCTCTTTTTGTACCAAAAAATAACTACAGCAAATTTTCAACAAGTTCTTCAACCTCTAGACACGTGTTGCATTATATTCGAATTATTTATTTATTATTTATTTTAATATTTATTTCTCAATTCGAATATTCAATGATAATTATATTCAAACTACCCTGGCGACATCCTGCTTATATAGTGGGGTTAATTAAGGCAAATATATATATATATATATATATATATATATATATATATATATATATATATATATATATATATATATATATATAATGTGTGTGTGTGTGTGTGTGTGTGTGTGTGTGTGTGTGTGTGTGTGTGTGTGTGTGTGTGTGTGTGTACGTGTGCGTGTGTGTGTACGTGTGCGTGTGTGTGCGCGCGCGCGAGTGTGCGTCATGCATAATAATGTGATTTATTACACTCGATAAAATTATCAAACTAAGGCTGCCCCGTGATATATTGTAGCATATGAATTATATGTAATAAAGGTTTAGTTAGATACAAAATGTGTGCTCATATTTTTTAATATATTTTAATTAGAGTAGCGTGTTATGAGTTTGGTGGCCATGTTGAAGGTGAAAATGGGAAAAGCTTCATAACTGTTCTTGGCCAAGTTGACGGAGGCAATTGTTTGATATAAGTGGTTTATATTATTCATTATGGAAGGAAATAATTGGTGAAAGTGTAAAGCCAGAGAGACTATACAGCACAGGGAAGGCATAAGAGGACAAGATAGGAAGAAACAACGATACCCAACTACTTGGACCATCGGGGGATCGAACGCCGATCTGCAGGACGCGAGGTCGTTACTGTACTGAAGCCTTGTGGAATCTGGTTGATTTACGAATCTCTCAAAAGGTTGAACGTGTAATAAGAAAAGATCTCAAGAGACCTGAATAATTGGCACCTTTTAAAATATAGATGAACAAATGACCCAACACCCACCTCGATTGACTTTAATATATAAAGCTCACCAGATGTCAATAATCCTGACACGTAGCTCACCTTAGATCAATTCTACATGAGTTAAGACGAACCGTAATATGGCCTTCAAGTTATCGTAATTATAATGATGTATCTGAATTATTATATACTATTTATCAACATTCTTACGATTTATTATTAATAGCATATTTATTCTAATTGAAAATGATTTTACAGTTTTTTGTCTTCATTATATTAATTATTTAATATCATGGTACTAATACATTTAGAAATCATATATATTTAACTACATCATATCTGTATTAGCTGATTTCAAACGAGAGATAATGCTCGTAATAGAGTCAAAGCTACTTACAATGCGATGATTGTCATATATATGCTAAATAACCCGTGGTAATGGCTCGCTATCAATCGGTTAATTAAGCCACAACAATAGCGCGCTCAAGCTCGGTGATTTTGGGTGAGATTTTTATATGATCAACATGAGGACAACAAAACACGTGAGCAACAAGGCACAACTTGGGGCAACTCAAACTCAACATGTCACTGATACTCAACACTCACAACACTCACACGCAATGTGATGCTAATGTAAAAATAATCGAAGGATGTTATACAAATCAGGCGAATGAACGAGATAAATTAACCGGAAGCATTGCAATAAATACACAACCACTGCACAATTAAACACAAAAATACGTGATCAGAATTAACGAACCAAATGGGTGTTTATTTCACAAATGAAAAACAAATGCAATGCAATTTAAAATACATAAAACTATTTGAATAAGATCATTATAATAATTCAGAGCACAATAAAATCCAACTGGAAATAATAAGTATATTATAATCATCATAAGCCACAAATATCAGGATATAATAAAGTCATAATAACCAATTAACAATTATCAAGTTGTTGTCAAACTCATGCTCGTCACATTACCTCCCCCCCCCCCGCTCTCCCACACACGCACGCGCATGCAAGCACGCACACACACACAAACGCGTCGGTTATCCTTCAGGAACTTGGACAAAAATTCTTTATCCAGTCCTTTCAGATCTGTTATTGAGTATGCTGCCTTAGTGTGGAGTCCCTACCTTAAACAGAAGCACAAAACAAAATTAGAAAAGGCCCAAAAATATGCAACAAAGCTCGTTCCTGAGCTAAGGGGACTGAGCTATGAAGATTGAGGGAACTGGACCTCACTACACTGGCGAAAAAAGAAATCTTTTGAGTCTCAGTATAGTAAATAAGTGGAACAGACTGGACGAGGAAGTTGTCGAAGCCAATTCGATACACAACTTTAAATGTAAATATGATAAAAAAATGACTGAAATGACTGCACCAACTAATGGGGCGAAAGGCGGGGCTTAAGAGAAGATGCTCGACCCCTGCAAGCTCAAGAAGTTGAATACACACACACCCAAACACACACACACATACACACATACACACACATATTCTCTCTCTCTCTCTCTCTCTCTCTCTCTCTCTCTCTCTCTCTCTCTCTCTCTCTCTCTCTCTCTCTCTCTCTCTCTCTCTCTCTCTCTAAAAA